AAAAAGATTGGTCAATCTTTTGAGGATGTGGAGGTGGAAAAACACCAAAATGGGGTTTGAATTTTATTTTTGAACTTAGAGCTCTAAGTTGAGGCAATCTGGGTTTTCTCTTTCTTTGGGTAACACAGATAAATGATGACAAAGATTTCAGAATTCTTTGTCTGCCGGTGCAATCTACAAAGTGCCAGACACACATGATCTATAATAATTAATCTGTTTGGGTAATTTAAGGGTACTGCTTATGTAGCCCTCTCCTCTTCCAACCCTGTGCATTATCTGTTTTTGTTTTGTTTTGTTTTGTTTTCTTTTCTTTTCTTTTTTTGCATTATCTGTTTTATAGGCAACATCTGCCAACACGGAATACTGAAATGGAAGATATTCCAATGACGGGGGGGCACTAGCAACAGAGAGGAAATTACAGAAGACAACTAGTGCAACTTGTGAGGCTCAAGGAGGAAAACCCCAAGCCCAGCAAGTCTGAAACATAGGAGCCCACTCTGCTTCACCAAAGAGAACACCAATCTGTCTCCAGAAGTGAGGTATCAGAAAAAGTCCACCTGAGTAATACAGCTTCTCTGGCATTACTCGACCGACTGTGGTACTCAGCCGATGCTCCTCAGCTGTAGGAGGGACACCTGTTCTCCAGCATGGAAGAATTCTCCAGCTAGGATGGAATCTAGCTGACTGCCAAGCCATTCCGCAGGTGTACGGACCAGGTTCCCAAAGTCAGAGCTGTTGGAACCTCCCAGAGTGTTTATTCTCTCATCACATTGATTCAGGACAGTTTATCAGCCTCTCTTTTCCATTTAACATCCTGACTTGTAGTGTAACAAATACACGTGTGCCTGAAGCTCTAAGTTCATTCAAAGGTGTGGCGATGTCCAAGAGATGACACCCACATTTCTGCTCCTAAAAGCTCTACCTCCAGCGAGGTGCTCTACAGTTTAAGGAAAGGGAGTCCTCACCTGGTGGAAGAGTGCTGCCCGATGGATCTTCTTGACTTCAGGACTCGGAAAAATGACAGCTGCCCTCAGTGACACTGTCCATACATGCCCACTGATATTTATACTTTTTGCCCACGGTATTTTCATACTATCTATGATTTGTGTTTTGAAATTGTACCTTGTATAAATAAAATAAAGTTTCTATTTTCCAAACAAAATACATACATATGGACTCGACGAACCGTTGAAGGAGCAATGTAGCACAAAGAACAATAGAGAAAGACAGCGTGGGAATGCATCCTTCCAAAGGATAGAGCTCCACTCTTCTTTCTAAAGGAGAGGGGAAACCTTGCCAAAAGATGAATCAGAGTACAGGTTTGGCGAGTTTCTGATAGAATTTTCATGTGGGAAACCATGTAAAAAGCAACATGGTCTACTCTAGACAACGGCAAGTTATGGTACCGCACCCTGGAGTTATTGATGGGGCGTTACTAGCACACAACGGGTCTCTTGCATTTTCCTGCCTGGCTCTCTTCTGATTCTGTATTTCTTTCTTTATGCCATTTTAAAAATAACATGTTGGGCCTAATCACACCTCCTGATCTTTTACATGAGAAAAGTGAGGTGTGGAGAAAGTGATTGCCCAAGCCGCAGGTGTCCTCACACTATGGCCCACGGACCACACGCGGCCCGCCG